TATACATGGTGAAGTACCCACCTATTCCTGTAGCTTTAAGTCGTTTGGTTTGATGAGCTTGTTGAAGAATGTTTCTCTGAAAGAAACCCCATGGGTGCCTTGATATAACCCTGGTGAACATCTGGGGAAATAATACCCGAGAGATTAATTTATTGAATTATTATTTTGAGAGTATCGGGTACAATCAATGGTCAACAATGGCGGTGTACCAAATCATTTTCAAAGACAACGATCAGTCTTAATTGTAACACCCGAGTACTTTACTTTTAATATAATAGTATCCTGCTCACCATGGGACGTAGGGAGTGTCATAAAATAAAAAGAAGGGGCAATACTTGAAAGCTTAGCTTTTCTTAACAAAAACGTACCTCGGTGGTAGACAGTGGCTGGCGATTATAAACAGGAGAACGGACACAGCACACAGCATAGCTATACAACACACGGAGCGACACAAACCCGTGACAGGCGAGGCAACAAGCGAACAGGAACGCAACAACAAAAAGATCACCACCGAGAAAAAGAGAAAATCTGACGAAAAAGAAAAATAAAGTTGTAGCTGCCTGTATGAAGATGTACAGTAGTGTACTTTTTATCATAATAGTTTAATAAACGTAGCATCTTATGACATCAATTCAAAAAGTTTCTCTCAAATGACAGGTTTAATTAATAGTTATACTCAGAGACACAGACTCACTGCTGCCCCCATAGTTCTTCTTTGATTTTGAAGAAGAAATGAAAGTCGCATGCTGGTAAGTCTGGGGAATCGCGGGGATGTCCAAGGTTTCCCCACTGCCAGGAGTCCAGGAGGTCGGTGAACTATAGAGCAGAGTGCAAAGGCGCGTTGCCATGACGGAAGACAACATCTTGTTTACGCAGACCCGGCCGCTTTCTTCTGATTTCTGGTCTCAGCTTTGTTTGAAGAAATATCTTGTGATACTTAGCACTGATTGTAGTGCCAACATGTTTCGACCAGTTCAAAACCACACCTTTGCGATTGAAAAACTTGATGTGCATCACTTTCGAAGCACCTGTTTTGTGTCGAGTTTTCTGGGTCCATGGTGATCCTGGGTTTCCCTATTCGCTGGTTTGCTTTTCAGTTTTGGATCCCACGAACACACTCATGTTTCACCACCTTTTATGATTTTTCTTTTTTTTAAACTGGCTCTTGACTCAATGTGACTTTCATTTCTTCCTTCAAAGAAGGACAAAAGGTACAGCGATTTGAAAACAAGGAAGAAATATTGAGCTCAAGACAAATGCTCCTCTAAGGGCATGGTCACTGCGTTTGACTACTGGCTACATCGGAAGAAAAAGTGCATTGAAATCAAAGGTTGTTACATTGTATAAAAAAACAAGTTTCTGTAGACATTTACAAAATGTCATGTCCGTAAAATAAAAAATGGTTGATTTTGGAGATCAGGGAGACTTACTTCAAGGCTACACCTCGTAGGATATAAATCTATGCCGATTACACACACGATCGAGAGAGAAAGTAAAAACCTCCACACAAAAAAATACCCACTGCTCGAACATACTTGTAGGCTACTCGTGTATTTTGTATGCAAAACACATTCTCAATTGAAGTGTAATTGAGTATACCTTATTTGATTAAGGATTTTAAAGTATGTTCTAACACAATTAGATAATGGAGCCTACCGTGTTTCTGCAGAATCTTCCAACGACAATAAATAGAAATACAGATACTGCTGATAATACTGATATGTCCATTTATGAAATATCTCTGCTCACTGCTCACAAACGTTTGTACAGCAGCCTTAAACATTTCGTGCGCAATGGCAAATTCATACAAATGAGCCAGAAGTTGTTTGGGTCTTTTTATAACTCGGACTGACGAAAGTCAACAAATTGCAATAAAACAAATTATTGGTTTGGCAAATCGATTGTCGTCTCAGCTTTATGATTTTCTATTGCATAATGTTTACCATAACGCCTTGAGACAATGGGTGGTTGGAAAACGTCGCTGGTAAGTCTTACGTCTTTTCCTTCTCTCTGTGTTTTCTATCTGCCTGCTTTACTTGATCTTTGCGCTGTTAATGTATCGATGAGCTCCTTTTTATAGAAACGAACGAAAACAACTTTAAACACTTTTATATAAAACCAACTAATACAAAAATGCTTGACTTGCAAAGTGTATAATTCAGTCACCAAATAATTCTCGTAAACAAGTCCTGTGGGCCTCAGGGGCGGACGGTGAACATGAACGTGGATTCCCCCTTTTTTCTCCTCTTGGAGCCTAATAGAGTGTTATGTTCATCACTTGCTGTCGAGCGGGGATATGCGCTATACAAATGCTATTTAGATTATTACTGTCCTCATATTTTGTCCATCAAAGATATTTTTTGCAACAAAATAAGTAAAGAATCCATCAATATTCTAATACATGTACGCAAATGCATCTGATAGACATTCTGGGTCGGTCACATCCGGGTCTGTTACAGCTGAGTGCGTCTCGTGTTCGGCAAGCAAAGGGCAGGAATTCCTGCTCGTTGTTTACATAGCAGTAGCCTCTGGTCGGTACATGTATTATGGGGCTTCTTACTTCATGTTTCTTATTTTCAAGACAGCACAGAGAGAAAAATAATCTCTTTAAAATGTGTTGCTACATCCAACCAATCACAGACACGACTCGGTTATAAAGTCTCATAACGGGCGCAAGGCGATATTGTTACGGTCGCTAATTCGGCCATTCCAGTGTGGGCGAGGGGTTGCACTTTCTCCGAATCGGGTTACTGGAGGAGTGAGATTATGATGGTGCATTAACACCCAGGCCCAGAAAATCTGGCGTTGTTTGATTGGTGTGCTGGTTTGTATCGTAGGGATAAACGGTTTTTTCCCCATCTTCTCTTCATTGAAACTTTCTGTTAACCACCCCGATTACTGTGTTTATTTTCTAGTTCCTTTTTTTAAAATACTTTATTTGGCCTAACTAGATCTATGCTTTGCCTTTTTGCAGCATGTCTTAGTTCGAACCATCATGAAATGAGCATGCTGATGTGGAGATCGCAATGAATGTTCTTCACGACTACATCCTCTATAGAAAGTCATAACTCCTGCTAAGCTTATAAGAAATAATATTTTCACGTGTATTTTGTGAATTAATCTCCCAATATACAAGTTATAACATGTATGAGTGATACTCTTACTTTCATAATATACTGATTGTCTTGGAAATGTTCGTGTTTTTCTTCCCTGTGTGTTGCTTGGATCTTCACTTGCTCCTACCTGAATTTTGCATGCGAGACGCCCCTGGTGGGCCTGAGAAGCGATTTAGCATCAGCTTGTTTTTGTCATGGCCATGGGATTTGTTCCGTCCACGGTCGCCTTTATTCATATCACGGGAGTGGGGGGTGGGGGCTTTTTACCCGTTACCTAGTGTTAAAACTCAGTGTGAATTGATGGGTGGAAAAGTAGATCTACACCTTAAGTTCTACTTTGTTACTTGACATTAAGCTCTGGCACAGGTGTTCACTCGATTTCAGTGCGTTGACACATTTATTTGAAGTAGACCAGTCGATCTCGCGTGTTTGGGAGCACTATTGTGGCTTTAATAAAAAATAAAAAAGAAGAAGAAAATAGCTTAAGTTTTTTAAAATATAAAACGTAAAAATGTCAGTTTTTGCAAACCAGTTTTATTTTTCTATGACAAGAGCACAGTTCAATCACTTTTTAAAAATTCATTCACCAGGAAAATCCTTTTCGCATACTCAGTTTTATGGAAAGAGCACGGAGTAATTTTTATTAAGGAGAATATAACCGTGAATGATATTGGCAATCATATTGTACAGGATATCGTTAAAAAAGAGCACGACGCTGATAGTGCGCGGTTTTGATACTTTTTTTTTTCAAAGTGCATGGCTCTAAAGCTTTCCCAAATTGTTTAGAACAATATAATTTGTTTAGTACTACTGACACTGGAATGTTCAAGCCTGTATTCGTTCGTCTTTTATTTGTAATACCATTGAGCACAGTGGTCACCCTTCAGAATGACGCATCGTCGGTCGCCTGATAAAATCGTGAATTCCACATTTTTTTTCGAAAATCGCTCTCTTTGCACACTTTGATGGTGCTCAGTGAGACACATCTTCAAAACAAACGCGAAGACCGTTCTACTGTATGGTTCAGGACATGGAGGCTCACAGCATCAGCAGCAAGGAAACTGCAGAGCTTCATAAATGGATGTCTAGGAAGGATAGTGGGGATCAAGTGGTACGATCGAGTCACAAATGCTCAACTGTTGGGAAGAACAAGCCAAAGGCCAGTAAAAGAATACATACAGGTGAAGAAATGGAAATGGATTGGCACACCCTGAGGAAACCCCGACAAGCTTCATCAGACGGGCGTTGACGTGGAATCCACAAGGAAATCGTAAGAAAGGAAGACCAAAGATGACATGGAGGCGAGCGGTACAAGCAGAAATAGAAAAGACGGGGACATCATGGAAACAGCAAAAAAAGGATGCACAGAACAGGCTCCTCCATAGAGCACGGTCGTGCACTGCCGCCTAAAAATTTTAATGAGCACAACACCCTCAAAGAGACAACAAAAGAACCTTTACCATCCTCTCCTTCCAATCAGTTTTCCGTATAAGTTCCTCGCCAGAGCCTATTCGTTCATTACAACATCTACAACAACTCTACAACATCTACTATACCATATCAAGTTCTTGTGCTTCACCCAAGTAAAAAAAATAGCATGCTCAGGGGTGTAATCTATCTCGGAAAATGCTCTATTGGCCGACCCAAACAACGATGACGTTTTGACCGAGTTTCTTAGTTCATAAATATTAATAGGGCGGCACAATCGCAATGTGCACCAGCCGAACAAAGCCCATAGTCATAGAGGCAGTCTAAAATTAACGCGATCTCAGACCAGTTCACGATAGCTTACATAATTCAATGCCCGTATTATGATAGCTTTGGAGATATCCACCAGAGTGCTCACAGCGATATGCGATTGGTCCATTGTCTTGCGATTTATATCTCTAGACCCATCTTTGTAACCCTGAACTTGAGCCAGGTCAACATGCATAATTAGGTCACTGTGTTAGAAGTTGGAATGGTGTAGTGGTGAAAGTTTTATTCATCATCATCATCATATATAATCATCATTGCCTTTCTCACCCTTGGTCAGGATATAGGCCACGAACAAACACTCTCCACATTTCCCTATCCTGGGCTAGTCGCTTGATGTCACTCCACGTCTTCCCACTTTTCTGTACATCCATTTCCGTGACTCTTCTCCAGGTTCCACGAGTTCTTCCCCTTGATCTTTTACTCTGTGGGTTCCAATCTAACACTTTTCTTGTTATGCAGCTGTTTGACTTCTGAGAGTGTGTCCAATCCATCGCCAACGTCTTCTTCCCATCTCATCTCTGACTGGGCTCTGTCTAGTTCTTCTTAATACTTCCTATCTGACCATTTGATCATCAGTAACTTCCTCGGACACTTGTTTAAGAAAACCTGGATCCTCTTTACGCACATATGGGATGCGTTCCACGTCTCACATCCATACAACAAGACTGACTTCACATTTGAGTTGAAAATTCTAAGCTTTGTTCGTAATGAGATATCCCTGGTCCTCCAAATCCTGTTGAAAGAAATAAATGCAGTCTGTGCCTTTCCAATGCGAGACTTTATTTCAGCGCCTGTTCTTCCCTCTCTATCAATTATACTCCCAAGATAGCAAAAGGATTCGACGTCTTCTAGTGCATTTCCTTGTACTGTGACCTGCTCCTTTCGTATTGCATCTATCCTTAGGACTTTCGACTTTCCGGGGTGGATCCTCAATCCAACAGACTCTGATAGGCTGTTTGAAATTGTTGTCTTTGCTTGCATCTGTTCCTGAGTGTGTGACAGAAGCACCAAATCATCTGCAAAGTCCAGATCGTTCAAATGTGTCCATGAGGTCCACTGTATACCGTTTCTGTGTCCTCTGGTGGTTTCCTTCATCTGCCAGCCGACTGCCAATATGAAGAGGAACGGTGATAATAAACATACATGTCTCACACCAGTCTTGATGTTAAAGCTGGCGATCATGTACAACCCTGCAACTTGTCCCTTCGTACATGGTGTGGATGAGGTTCACCAACTTCTGTGGGATTCCGTAATGTCTCAGTATCTTCCATAGTGTTGCTCGGTCTGTACTGTCAAAAGCCTTGTCATAGTCAAGGAAGTTGACGATCAGCTGGGAGTTCCGCTCCAGGGACTGTTCCACAATAATCCTCAGCGTGGCAATCTGGTCGGTGGTTGAGCGATTTTTCCGGAAACCAACCTGTTCATCCTGTAGTCTTGGATCCGTTGCTGTTTTGATTCTCTCCAGAATGATTCTGTTGAAGACCTTACCTGGTATTGAGAGAAGAGTGATCCCTCTGTAGTTGCTGCAGTTGTTGAGATCCCCCTTTTTTGGAAGCTTCACGAGGTGTCTTTCTTTCCAATCCTTTGGGAATTTGCTCTCATTCCAGATCCTGGTAAACAGTGGGAGGAAGATGTCTGCCGTCACAGTGACATCTGCTTTTATGCCAGGTGGAATCTGGTCAGGACCGGCCATTTTAACTGTGTTCAACTTCTTAATGGCATCCAGAATCTCTTGTTTTGAAGGAGCATCACAGAAGACTGGTGACTCATTTCTTGCTGGCAGGATGTTTGGTGAGTTACTCGGTGGTGGTTTGTTTAGGAGACTGTTGAAATGCTCTACCCATCGTTTAGACTGAGCTTCCTTTCAAACAATGGTTTTCCCCTCTTTGTCCTTTACTGGTACTTCAGGTTTCCCGTATTTTCCAGCCAGTGTCCTTGTGGTCTGGTAAAGGATTCGCATGTGCCCTCCTACCGCTGCTTCCTCTGCCTTCTCAGCCAGCCTGTTCATGAATTCCTCCTTGTCTTTTCTTAGAGATTTCTTGACATCTTTAGCTCTTGTCCTGTACTTCTCCAATGCATCCGCTCTTGATCATCTTGTTCTACTTGCATTCGCTTCTGCCTTCAGCTGTCTTCTTATCCTAATTAAATCCATTGACTTCTGTTAGTGAAAGAAGCCATGATGATCATTTCCTCGTGTGGTTCCCATCCTCTAAGTGACTTCTGTGCATACTTGCTCAAAATAATTCCA